AAAGTCCCCGTAACCTACAAAACTTTGTGTTTTGGACCTGTCTATTCAGTGTCCTATATTAGCCTTGTGTTCAACAAGCTCAGATATTTTGGCCCATAAACCTTTACAAGTGGTTTTGAGTCTCTTCTGTGTGGGTTGGCAGGTCTCCTTTACATAAACCTTACCACGAGCACAAAACCTTGCAGCAGCCTTATCTAGAACGAGGGTCTGAATATTCTCTAAATCTAAGACTATCACATTTATCAGGACATGAACATCAGATACACACAATAGACAATATCACAAGCCCAAACGTGATTCAACATTAGAGGCCCGTACACTAGTTTATTTGTGTAAGAAAACAGTTGTCACGGAACGCACTTCCGGATTGGGAAGTAACTCCACTCATTTGCAAGCATGTATAGCAAAGTTGAAGTAGCCATCCAAATCATGAGATGCCTCATTAAGATCGCAAAGTTAGGTGTATTAAAAAATGACTAGGGATACAGCCGGCCACCTTTCCTCTTGGTTTAGTATATTTTTGCCTTTTTTCGTGAAGTACGGATTCCTGCTCTGAGGATGTCTGCCAGAGTATAGACTAAAGCAGGATAGTGAGTCGAGGACTTCTTCGCACAATTCAGCAGTCTTCGCTTCGCGACAAACCTCCTTCAATTTCCGATTAAACCACATCACGAATTTCTTCCAAACAAATTGTTCTTCGAAATGGAATTTCGCGTCACAATTATCATATTGCATTCTGTTTACTTTAAACAATTCGGTGATTTTTCAATTTTTAATCTCTAATTGAAACAGAGTTTTAATGTGCGATTGTCGTATCGTGGTTCACTAGAGGACTTTAAAGGGTTAGACAAAAATATGCATCTAAAAATCAACTGTTAAATCTTCACAGATGTCGAGGTGCTCTATTTTATAACAAAGCCCCTAAATGCATCAACTAGACCGAATTTGCAGGAACATTTGCTTTTTTGGCACAACTAAGATTTTTTTGCATAAAGAGCCGTATAATCTTCATTATATGTTTCATAAGTAATTCAAAGCTAATGTTGCAAAGGTCTAAGAAGAGTTTAAGATAAGTATAGTTTTCACAAAACCCTCTCCTAATTTGGATTATTTAGCTGATTCTGACATTCTTATATTTTTTACTTCACGTACTTATATTTAGGAGCTTGCTAAGGCTATATTTCGCAAGAAAGCACATTTTTACGCAAGAGGTTTTCTAATCCATATAAATGTCTCGACATTAATCGTTTCTGACTCGTAAATTAAAATAAATTGTTAAAGCTTATTAAAATTACGATTGCTCCTCTTCTTCATAGCATGTGGCATATTTAAACCTTATATTGCCCATGTCATATATGGTTCCGGATGGATGTGTGTGTTAATGAAACCTTTAATTGTAACCAATTTCTTATAAATGAGTATTTAATAATTAATAAACTGATTAGTAGTTAATATCTTAGCGTAAATGCAGATCTCTTCGCCTCTCGAATTTTATTGAAATAACTATCCAATAAAGCTCGTTACAGCAATTTAAACCGAAAATATTTTTCAATTTAAACTTAAGGAAATAGACTATCAGCATTTAGGTTGCCTGACGTCGTGATTTCTCTTTTAATAAATGATGTTTACTGGGAATTATCAGCTTTCATATAATATATAACTATCAGTTAAGGAAAGAAAGAAAAATGGGGCAAATTATTATCACTTTACAGTAAACCTCTGCACATAAGAACTTTTTCTATTACTCATCAATTAAATTTTATTTTTATAAACTACTCAAATACGATCCTAATACATTTCCTGATTGAATAAAATGAAGCCTAAAAGTAGGCTAGAAAGTAACAACTTTGACGGATGGCAAATGGCCTGGTGGCGAAGTCAGGACTGGCCTTATGCCTATGTGTTATTTTAATTGAGGGAAACTAAAGTAAATATGCAATTCATTCTAATCATTTAGTCATTATCAATAAGTGAAATTAGGATTATAAGAGGAGCTTTGTAGCTCATCTTTTCAATCATATATTCTTAATAAATTTAAATCGCAAAAGAGACCGATTTGTCAAGGCACAATGGAAAAGAATGCTGGATGCAGATAAAATAGAAAGTAATGGAGTGAAAGATTAAGATGAATAATTATCACTATTAAGGTTGTTTGACCTTGTTTTCGCAACTTGGTCATATTGGTAGGAAGACTTAGAGAAATGCACCTAGTCCGGAGTCCATTGTATGCATTATCATTTCCAAAGTTTTGCCAGGATCGTAGTCGACATCGTTTGGTCAAAGGATCGGCTTCACTTGTCTCTTTGACGAGTTCTTGTGCGATGATAAGAATGGCGAGACCCACAGATGATGCCGACTACGATTCCGGCGAAACTTTTGGGAATGTACCACGTCCACGGTTCGATTTTGGAAATGATCATGTATACAATGGACTCCGGACTAGGTGCGTTCCTCTAAGTCTTCCTACCAATATGA